CTCCAGTGAGTGCTCCCTTCTCATTTGGTGGCCAAAGTATTTAAGCTTCAGTTTCATTATCTGGCCTTCCAGGGAACAGTCAGGGTTGATTACTTTTAGGATTGACTGATTTGATCTCCTTGCAGTCCAAGGGACTCTCAAGAGTCTTCTCCAGCACCATAGTTCAAAAGAATCTATTCTTCGGCGCTCGGCCTTCCATATAGTCCAACTCTCGCAGCCATACATGACTACTGGGAATACCATTGCTTTGACCATGCGGACTTTTGTTGGCAGGGTGATGTCTCTACTTTTTATCATGCTGTTTAGGTTCGCCATCACTTTCCTCCCAAGGAGCAGGCGTCTTTTAATTTCATGGCTGCTACACTGGTAAAATAAAAAGCCTCCCTACTTTATGTGTGAGTGGGCAGACTCATGCTTTTAGACAGGATACCCCCATAGGATCTGATCCTTCTTTGCTCTTGCCCTGGGTGTGTGCCTTGTTTTTGTTACAGAGAGCAAGACTTAGCCTCTGATCTCTAATGCAGGTGGGATGCCTTTCATGAGGAAGAGAGAGTGCAACACAAGGAATAGCCTCTGGCAGGCTCAAAGGCATCACATTGCTGCTGAGCTCCCTTTCCTCCTCAAACTCTGCCCCCAAATCTCCGAATAACCAGCTCAGTGTTGGCAATAGGAATGTGCTTTTCGGGATCCCGAGCCGAAAAAAAAGCCGAAAATAACGTTTTTCGGCTTTTTCGGCTTTTGGGATCCCGAATTAGCAATTTATGCACTTGTCCAAATCCCGAAAAAAAAATCCCGGAAAAATTCGGGAATCCCGAAAAATTCGGGTCCATTATAACCAAAGGGGCCATTGAAGTCAATGGCAAAAATCTTCTTGAAACTTTGTGGGGGGCTGGGGGGGAGGGGGTTTGGGGTAGAGGCTCCAAACTTGGAGCGTGCTTACTGGAACCTCTCCCCAACATACCCACCAATGGGGGGGTGGGGGTGTGTGGGTGAAGAGGCTCCAAACGTGGAGCGTGCTTACTGGAACCTCCCCCCAACATACCCACCAAGTTTCAAGACGATTGGACCAGGGGGTACAATTTTATGGGCCCCAAAACAGGTTGCCCTCAGATCAGCTTGCTGCAGTTT